CACAAAAGGCCACACCATCTTGGTCTTCATACTTATGATTAAAAGTAATTGACGAATGTGGAATGACTGGGAAAGAATTGTTGAAAATTTAAGTAATAAAGGTTCAAATCATTGTCCAAGCAGGACATCATACTTTACTACAATTCACGAAAATACGAAAAAAGCAAGAAAGGCGGCCTGCTTCACACTATAAACAGCGATGCCATACAGGCCCTGCAATCCACACTATATCAGCACACGGAGATTTTAGGGAGCACTGAGTTAAGTAAAGTGTCAATAATGATACTGACCGTCTGTACATATGGGATCGTGTTCGTTGGCAATTTGAGGAACGCCTAATTCAAGAGGCACTTTTACTCCCTAAATTATTAGTTCGCTAATAATATCTTTTGACATCATCATCCTGTTACTTTGCTTTCTATGGCTTGGAGGCTTAAAAATGTCTCGTTCCACTTACTGGCTGATTCGCCCCAGTCTGGGTCTTCATAAAAGCTGTCTACTTATTTCATGCACAGGATCTCTTGGTCTTGTAAGTAACTAGTTGATCGTAAGCCATGCTTGGATTGCCAATTCGCATAGGAAAGCTTTTTACTTTATAACCGGAAGCTATTGTGGATCCTATCTGGAGCAGCGAAAACTCATTTTACGCCAAAATAGCGCGTGATCTCCTTTACGTCAGACTAACAGTTTGCTAAACTTCGATCAAGCCCATGCTGTAAAGAATATACTCAACATTGTCTCGTTTTTTTCTTGGCATTGGACTTCTGACCAGGTACCTGTCCGGATGCATAATCGGCAACGATGTCAGTTGACAGAGCAAAATACAACTCCATACAACGGAAATTCAACGCAAAGCTACTGGCGGAACCCCCGGAAATGTGCTGGTTAAACGGTTCCATGTTGCAAAAGCATTCTACGTTGACGACAAGTAGGTGGTGATGAGCACCTCCTTCAAGACTCTCTCCGCAAGCCAATAGAAAGAGTGTTGGGGGGACTTTCATTTTGTATGAAAGTGCATGAAGAACAGATTCGTTGGTCAATCTCACCAGATGAGGATGGATGAATCTCGTTTTACGGCAACCGTTTGTTTTGTATATGATGTACATGTTGATGCCGTCCACGAGAGAGAAAGAGTTCCAGTCACCAAAGGTCGCTTTAGGATAATGAATGAGTGGAAGTCACATTATCCCACAAGCATATGAGTAAACATAATGGTTCCATTTAATTTCACTTAGCCCCCATCAAAATGAATTCGCATACAAAATGGACGGAAGTTTTTACCTCACCTACGTCTCGTCAGCACCTCCAACGGGAGTCGAACCTGGTTAATGCGGCTTATAATCTCTCGATGAGGCAAATTTTTAGTTTTGCCATTACGTTACCATTACATTATGCCATACAGTAATTGTATTCATATGATGTTGGTCTTGATATTATCAATAAATCTTGAATAAGACTTCTTCATATGAATAAAAGTTATGTCTTCTGCTGTAATGTCAAAACTAAATGTTTTTCCTATCCACAATCCCATTAGAGATGTGATATAGTAGAGATCATACGTTTGATTTCCTCTTGGGGTGCTGATCTGACCTAGGCGAAGTTGAGTATGCAGTCCACTCTCGATAAGAATACCTTGTGGGAGGTAAGGCTAAGTGAAATACTATGAAAACGTTGAGTGTACTCATCTGACTTATTTTTTGTATTTAAGTAGAGTTTCGAGACTACTAGTAAATCAGTAATATGTGATGTATTCACAATATTCCGTTTAAGGGGATGAAGGAATGTTAGTAGAATTGTCCCACAATTATATGAGTAGAAGTGACGTTTCCATTCAATTTCAATTCTAGATTAGAACAATTTTTGGTAAAGCAGGGCTATGTGAAATTCAATGGGACTGTTAGCTCTACTCATATTATTGTGGAAAAATTCTTCTTCTACCAGTCCTTCATCACCTTAAACGAAATAGGGTGAATACTTCTCATACTCATCTAACTGTTAGTCCTCAATCATATTATGGGAATTAGGATAACTGGGACTCTTACTCAATATTTCCTATTATTTTAGATGCCTATTTCATAAAAATAAAATCGAGAGTAAGTCTTCGAGAAGTTACCTAGTATATCAGCATTGACTAGACACTGATTTCGAGTGAAAGTGTGAGGTGAAGAGATTCACAGCTCGATCTCACCAGAAGATAGCGGAGGATTACACTTGGTCTGCCATTATTTGAGTTTACTGAGACGTTCAGGTGGACGCAGTCCTCAAGGCACCCACCTTGAGTTAAGGTAAAAACGTATCAAATGGCAGACATCAAGTCAATCTCATGCCTACAAGTTAGGAAAACTAACAGGTTAAACTTACTCTGATATATATGCATACTTATATAACTACTTAAATAACGCCAGTTATAAAAGAATTGATTATTTTATTAGGATGTCTATATTAGTGCGTGCGTATGTATGTAAGTACCGGAATGCAAACACAAAGTGTGATTCACGACTAACCAGAATGGAACATAAGTTTCTATCATAAGATAAACAAGTATGAATGACCATTTCTCTTTCACCCAACAAATTTCAACGCTGAACTAGCTTTCTCGAGTTGATTGTAACAAGTGAGATCTCAAAAAGAAGCAACTTCGACAAAATATTAGTTAGGTTGCCTGCTTTTAGAAGAGGGTGTTATATTTCGGTTCAGTAATCAGGTATAAATAGTTCTTACCCAATTCCTTTCCTCCGTCCCAAACATCCAAATTGTGCTACCAATGTCAGCTGAATTCAGTGGCTTCTCGTCAGTTTCTGCCAAATGTTTTGTAGCTTGACAACTGGATCCAGCAGCCTCTATAACAGACTTCCATTAAAGGTCGTAAACATGATTTACAGTATCATACCATTGACATGGTACGTAATAGGACGCAGGTCTAGGTATGTTGCGAAAACGAGGTCAAACTAAAAGAACACAGCTAAAAGAGACCGCGACCAAACAAAAGGTCACACAATCTTGGTCTTCATATCTAAGATTTCTTTAAAGGTCTTTCCCTAACATAACACGTTCTCTTTATTACT